GTTCCTGTTTATAAGTCTAGTCTAGATTCTGCAGTTATTATTGTGTGAAACCTGAGTCAGCAGACCTTCAGCAATTTCAGCCATGCAAGTATCACAGCATTTAGTTTATCCAGGACATTACAGCTAGGACAAGTGTTATCAGGAACTTTGAAACTTGTCAAATATCATGAACACAGCTCAAAGTGAAAAGACCAAAGCCCAGGTACTCGGCCCCAACCTGTCTCCAATCAAAGAATAAAAGGAGAGATTTAGGGTTTAGGTCCAGCTGCACTGGATTTAAATGGTAAACAGGTAGAGCAGCTTTATGTCATTGTGTTGCATAACACGTTTATTACATCATTAATCAATTAATTATGTAGAAGTCTGAAGTTACTTATACTTTTATTAAAGTTATCTTTAAATAAAACATCAATCATTTATGTATTACCAGCAGTGGCTGTTTAACTCACACATTCATTCATTATTTACAATAATCTAATTATTTGATATGACCAAGACCAATTACTTTCCTGTTCCTACCAACCAAAGCAGTTAAATAAATAATAATACATACTTATCTGATTCATTTAACGTCATGAAAATGAAAGGTTTTTCTATAAAATGCTGGTGGTTGTTGCTCTGCAGTCACATTAAATATGCCTTTGCCAAACAGACCATAATAATTAGGCACACTTAGGTTCTAAAAAAATGCTGTAGTTTTACTTGATTAGTTTTCTTAATAAAGAATTTTATTTCCTGCCAGTCAAATAGAAGGGATTTATTAGCCCACAGGAAGAGGGAGCACTGACTGAGATGTGTTGCTCCACTGTCATGTTTAAAGGGGCAATATTATGTGTTTCTCAGGCATACATTTAAATACTATACCATAATAAAGTATCTATGTGATATATGATAATTTAGTTCTTATTAAAATGCTGTTTTATGTTTAAATAGAAAATAAACTTATCTTCTCATCACTTCCTCTCTAAACGCCTTGGAATTGGCCTCTGTCTCTTTAAGAATCACCTTCCACTTCTGTTTAGCCCATTTCGGTGCGGGGTGGGGGGGGGGCTGCTATGATGCAGCTTACTTGGCATCTGAAAATACATTTCCTCAAAGGTATTTTTAATCTGAAAAGAGCTTCACTGAGTGAGAACTAATGTTGAGAGCTCAGCAGACAGTTTCACTTTCATTTTCACCTGAGAGCCTGCAAGAGTCATGGGCGGGGTGTGTGGGAAAGGGGAATGGAGGTGGGTGGGTTGCTCTGCCATGAGGAAGTTTGGCTTAAAGACACATCCCAGGGGTGTTTCTGGTCCCCAAAGGTGTTTCTGGTCCCCACCTGTTATTTTGCTCCTCAGCATGGCTGCCTAAAAATGCTGTAGGATTTCTCAAACATGCATGAATGAGTCAAAGCAAGGCTTTGGGCATGTTTTTATGAGAGTATAACATTATAATAATAATAATCCATCCATCCATCTATCTATCCATCCATTTTCTTCCACTTATACGGGGTCAGGTTGCGGGGGCAGCAGCCTAAGCAGAGAAACCCAGACTTCCCTCTCCCCAGCCACTTGGGGCAGCTCATCGGGGGAATCCCAAGGCGTTCCCAGGCCAGCAGAGAAACATAGTCCCTCCAGCGTGTCCTGGGTCTTCCTCTGGGCCTTTTCCCAGTGGGACGTGCTCGGAACACCTCACCAGGGAGGCGTCCAAGAAGCATCCTAACCAGATGCCCAAGCCACCTCAACTGGCTCCTCTCGACGTGGAGGAGCAGCGGCTCCACTCTGAGTCCCTCCTGGATGACTGAGCTTCTCACCCTATGTCTAAGGGAGAGCCCAGACACCCTGCAGAGGAAACTCATTTTGGATGCTTGTTCTTTCAGTCAGTACCCAAAGCTCATGACCATAGATGAGGATTGGAACGTAGACCGACTGGTAAATCAAGAGCTTCATCTTTTGACTCAGCTTCCGCTTCACCATGACAGATCGGTACAGCGCCCGCATCACTGCAGATGCAGCACCAATCTGCCTATCAATCTCCCGCTCCTTTCTTCCTTCACTCATGATCAAGACCCCAAGGTACTCAAACTCCTCCACTTTGGGCAGAACCTCTTCCCCAACCCAGAGGAGGCACTGTCCTTTTTCATCTCAAGACCATTGTCTCAGATTTGGAGGCACTGATCCTCGTCCCGGCTGCGTCACACTCGACTGCGAACTGCTTCAGTGAAAGCTGGAGATCACAATCTGATGAAGCCAATATGACAACACCATCTGCATAAAGCAGAGATGCAATCCTAAAGTCACCAAGATGGATCCCCTCAACACCTGGGCTGTGCCGAGAAATTCTGTCCATAAAAATTATGAACAGAATCAGTGACAAAGGGCAACCTTGGCGGAGTCCAACTCTCACTGGAAATGACCCCAACTTACTACCGGCATTGTGGACCAAACTCTGACACTGGTCGCACAGGGACCTAACAGCCCGTATCAAACAGCTTGGTACCCCATACACACAGAGTACCTCTCACAGGACTCTCCAAGGGACAGGGTTGAACGCCTTCTCCAAGTCCACAAAACACATGTAGACTGGTTGAGGGAACTCACATGCATCCCCCAAGACCCTGCTGAGGGTGTACAGCTGGATGAAACACTAAAGACAATTATTTACTGAGTACTGGAGAGTACTAATCCACTTCAAGCATTGCACATGAAGCAAGGTTTATAGATGACGTGTCGCAAGGGGGCATGCGCCAATAAAGGCACAATCACGCCGTCCCTGCCCCTGCATGTTGGCCCTGCCCGGTATCCTAGTGTGTGGTCGTGCACCTCAGAATTTTTGTAACTCCACAAAGGCTGTGCGTGCCGTGCAACATTCAAACAGTTTGTTTGTATGTCAAGCTTTTGCTCTCTTATTTTCAGCATTTTCACAAGTTATAAAGTGTACTTTGATGTGTTCTTTTGGAAAAATCTACAGCAAAATATAGCCAAGTATAAAAACCTCCACTGCTGGTGAGAGATGACGCGCGCACCCCAAAGCGCGACCATAACTTCACATTGGCTAACAAAATGAAGAGATGAAGAAGAAATGCTCTAAGGGTGATGATTTCATCCTTCAGACTTTATGTGATTCCTGAATTAGACCTGCACCTCAGCAGAATTACTAACTTGTCAATGATTCTGTTGGTTCTATTTTAAAGGAATATTTTTGTCATTTTGAAGTGGAGCTTTGTGTAAAGTATTTACTTTATTTTATTTATTATGTGAACAGTTATATTTTGTGAACTGGGCTTGTTTCAGAACATGGGAGCTTTTATTAGCTTGTCTTCTTCAACCCACTTAACATTTTTAAACAACTTTACTCTCTGTTTTATGTTGTTTCACAAAGTTTGGTGAAATTCCTCTCAGCCATGGCTGAGGCTGCACAAGAAGTGCTGGCATGTACCACTTTTTGTTTTTCCAAAGACTGTGGAGTTTAATATAAACATTAGAATAATAGGTTGAATTTTATAATCCATATTATCCATATTATCAAGATATTTATTTAGAATCTAATATTCTGATCTGAAGTCAGAATACTGAACCTCAGTCAGTAGGGAGGAAACAGGCTCATTAATCTACAGTTTGTTTCACTTTTCTGTTTTTCTGTTTTATTATTTATTTAATGTTTTTGTGATGTGTCTGACAGTTAATGTTAACCTTTCTAACTGTTACTTTAAATCCATTCAGCTCACTAATATTGTAAGCTGCTGTTTTCATTTCTGAACTGATGTCAGGACTTTGTTTGAGTCAAAGCAGAACATATCAGTTCAACATGTCAGAAAAAGCCAAATTTAAAAACCTTGCATTCAGGAAAATAAGGAGGAATGCACGATATACTAATATCAGTATTGCCGATATAGGTCATTTTTTTAGAATATCATATCAGTCCAATATGCAAAACTGGGCCGATCTTAACGTCCAGTCTTGATTTCCCATTTTTTAGCATTCTGTTTCTGTTTTGGGAGGGGAGATGGTTGGTTGAGCGACATCTGTTTGATCATGATAGTTATATTGACACTGTGTAGCCAAGATAAACTGAAGTAAGGAGCCATGTCAGAGGTCTGGTTGTTTATTTACAGTTTCAAAACAAGACCCAAGTGTGTGCATATAATACAAGTTGTGTGTTTGTGCAATATCAGTAAATATCGGTTATCGGCCATAACAGCATCGGATATCGATATTGGCTGAAATTTTCATATCGCTGCATCCCTATAAATAAGAATCAGTTTTAATTTGTTGGAAAAGAGAGAATCTTAGGGTTAAACATCTTTCTATATGTTTGATTTATTTGTTTTATAAACAGAATGTTGACTAGGACTAAATACAGATTATTTTTTTGAAACTATAACCAAGTTATGTACAACAGGTAAGATATTATTTCTACAGAACCTCACTTAAAATGACCAAAATATCCCTTTAGGAATGCCATCCTATGAAGCAGGAATATTTAGGTCAAACTCAAGGAACCGATATTATTATTATCGTTTACTTCAGAGAAGTTTCTTGATGTTGTTTAGCTGTTGACCAACTTCTCAGATAAGTTGGGTAAAAAAAATGTAAAAATTAGGAAGAGAAAGTTTTTTTGTTAGTATACAAATGTTTTCTATTCTAACAGCCATGATTAGTTGTAATGATTAAGATTTTTGAATAATGCTTTTGAAAAAAAAAAGACCTGGTATGATATCTTCTTCTTACTAATAATGATGATGGTGATGATGATGATGATGATGATGATGATGATGATGATGATGATGATGATGATGATGATGATGTGACAGAGGTGCTGTGTTTACGGTGTGTGTTCCTCCTTCCTGCCTCTCTCGGCTCTTCTGCTGCTGCAGCCTCAGAGATGGAAAAACGGATTAAAACGCCGGTGCTGGTGTAAACGAGCTGGGATCTGAAGCCTTTCTTTTTCCTCGTGTATTCACTGCATCGCTCTTCTCTGCCTCTGTGTGGTGTGTGTGTGTGTGTGTGTGTGTGTGTTAGCTCCTCTCTGCTGGGATCCTGGTCTGCCAGGGGCTGCAGAGCTGTGCTCGTCGACTCGTTCCGAACCAAATGCGTGTGTGACAGACTGTCCACCTTCGCCATCTTAGCCCGGCTCCAATCGGACCTGGTAAGTCCTGCAGCCTCCCATCTCGCTGCCTTTTTGTTGGGCTTTTCAGTGTTTTATATTTGATCCCAAAGGGCGTCATTGTCCTTCCATATCAACAGATCCTCCTTCTATCCCCCCCTCCTCCCTTCCCCCGTCATGGCACTCCTCCCTTCCCTCCTCCTGGACATGCCAAGCTCTAAAAGCTTATTGTAAGCTGGCAGAAGCAGCAATCTTTATTTATCTCTGATTGTTGGGGGGGGGGGGGGGAACCTGTGCATCCATTCACCATTCACACGTGAGTCAAATCGAACATGATAAGGAAGCCCCTCCCCCCCACACACGTCTGTCTTCATTTGTCTTGTTTCATGTTAAACAAAGAGCTGATGCATGTCGCTTCATGTGAGATGGTCAGTGTTGTCTCCATGGTTACCGGGGCCTTTCTCAGAGGAACATGTCTGTCGTGGTGATTCAGTAATCTGTAAATCAAATCAAATGTGCTGGTGGGGGTGGGGGGGTGGGGGGCAGATCTTTGTGGCCTAACTGGCCATGTGGAAATTCAAAGTATGAAAATGGCCTGATTCCTGTGGTGACATGGCAGCATGTCTTTGTGGGTAATTCTCATTCTGTGTGATTAGTTATTATTAGACTAAAAACTGCCTCAGAAGCAGTTTGTTCACCAGTTGCCGTGGTAACAGTGTTGGCAGCGATGCTGTCTTAAAGACACAGCAGGCAGCGGATATTTCACCCTCTGCTCGATGGCCTAAAGGGGGGGGGGGGTGTTTCTGAGGGATTCTGGCTGGTTAAATGTTGTTGGTGAATAATAAATGAAACATTCCTTTAAAGAAATGCCTATCACCCGCCTCCGGTCAGACCAGAGTCTCACACTGACATCAGCTTATGATGAGAAACGATGGAGCTGAAAGTGTGACTCTCAGCTAATCCTAACTCTAACCCAAAGCAGATTTGATTTTAAAATGAGTAATAAATATTTTTATGGTTTCTAAGATCTGCTGGCTGTGGCAGATGCATGTGCAATGGTTCATTCTGCAGACTTTCTGGCCAGTGGCTCGTGACAGATTTTGCTAACATGCAGAGAGAAGGATCTCAGCCTCATCCAAACCAAGTTTTAGGTCAAACAGTCAAACTGACTGAGTTTTAGTCATTAATTGTGGCAAAAATCTTGACTGGAGTTAACTCCAAATCATAATTGATTGTGTTCATCCTGTGCTTCCTGTCTGAGTCTTCATCCAGTGGTTCAACTCATGTTTTCCTAACAGACAGACCAACAAATACAAAAACACATACACAATATATATATATAGAAAGTGCACACATTTAAATCCTCAGCATCACCCTGTTGTCTGAGTGTAACTTGATTGGAGCAGATTAGCTGTATAAACAGGAGCTGTTTCTAAATTCAGGGCCTGCATCTTTCGAAGGTCGATTGTGTCACTGCACCTGGGCAAACGCTGTCCAAATTCAAAGGCTCCTCATCTGAGACCCACAAATATGTCCTCTTTTTTCCTCCTTTTGAGGGACAGGTCAGGTGAATCCTTTTTGGTTCACCCTATCCCAAGATGCATTGCACACTGACTGGAGATATTTTGCTTGTAATGGTGGGTGAAGCCAGATACAGGAGAACAGTTTTTTTTTAAAGCTGGTGGTCTGAAAAGTTTAAGTTTCAAATGGTTGTATTGTTAGATTTTAGTAATTTACATAGACAAGTTTTACAATAATATTGTAGTCAAAAATCAATCAAGCTCTAATAGCAGGTCCATTAGTTCTTCAAGTATTGCCTCTATACTGATTTTGTTCATTTATAATATTAATAATAATAATACTGGGACTGGATCTGATGACTGCTGGGACTGGATCTGATGACTGCTGGGACTGGATCTGTCTGACTGCTGGGACTGGATCTGTCTGACTGCTGGGACTGGATCTGTCTGACTGCTGGGATTGAATCTGTCTGTCTGACTGCTGGGACTGGATCTGTATGATTTTTTGCAGAGTTAGTTAAAACCACTGAAACCTTGAGGCTGAATGCTGATGTGAAAATTGAGGGTTTTGGACTATGCCAAGGTGCAACAGAACCAACGTTTAAATTTCTTGCTCATGTGATGCTCCCAAGTTTGAAGACTGGTGGATTTGAAAAACAAAAAAACAGAAAAAAAAATATATAAAATAAAATACTCTGAACTGAAAATGAGCCCAGTTTAGCTCATCACATGATATGTTTGCATTAAAATCAGCAGTCTGATAAGAAGTTAAAGCTTTGGCCCAACAGTTTGGATCACACCAAATGTGTGCTGTAACAGACACTTGGTCACCATCAGCAGGATTTTGATCAAATGTTTTATTTTTTTTTTCTTAGCTCGTTTCATTTAACAGCATCATTGGAACATGGAAGCTTTAAGACATTTTCACTGACAGGGAGGCTAGGAAAATGAAACCTTCACTAGAATTAACAAAGACTGACAACTGAGCTGGGGTTTATTGTTTCTCTTTTTCTTTGTTTTTTTTTTCTTCTTTTTTTAAGTGTGAAGTTTATGGTGCTGAAACATTGACCTTTGGACTTCTTCTTCCTCCCTCTCTGCCAGTGGTTTGGAGTGAGTTGTACTAAAATGTGCCTTGACATTTGGAGCCTCCTCAGCTTTGGGCCTAAACTCATTCTCGTCACTGAGGAAAGTGTAGTCCAAATAAGGACTTACGATGCTGCATAGAGGGAAAGAAAAACTGATAAAGCTGGAATCTGAAGAGGACTACAGCAGATATCATGATGTAGGGGTGAAGGGTTTTAGATATTTTTTAATGTAGCAGCCATCTGCATCTCTGCTGAATGAAAGTAGGATGAATAAAAAAAACAATTGCTGTTTAATTTATAAATAAATGAATGAATTAGTGTAATGTGTAATTGAACGACTGACACTTGTGCATCACACACCTATTCATGTTTTGTTCCGCTGATGTTGGGTCAGGTTCTTGCCCATGTTTGGGAGGCTTGGACCTCATGTTGCATCTGGGTCATGTGTGCTGGGTTTTCTCCACATGGAGGCAGAAATTCAGACATAGTTGTGACTTGTAATCAATGTAGAAAAAAGGGTAAAAGGAAGGCTTTAACATTTAGCATTAGCAGTTAAGGTTTGCTCAAGATGGTAGCATCCTTCTTTTTCTACTCTAACAGTTTCTCTGAAAATAGTTGGACATTCTAATCCCACAAACAATATGCT